GGAAGAGAGTCGTCTTCCCCCCCCCTCGCATATAAGCCTTGGCTTCATATGGAGGTGGTACCCACTAGCACTTGATCACCTCCATATGAAGTCAAGGCTTATATGCGAGGGGGGGAGACGACTCTCTTCCGATGTGGGACAAGTCCTACGAGCGAAGAGGGGTAAAGGCTACTGGTAAATAACTCTCAAGCGGGGTGAAGCCAAGTCAGCCAAAATCCTTCGGTGGGGGGAGGACATCTCGAACGCACGGATAAATCCCTTACAAAAAGGCGTCTTTTGGTGGACAGGATTCCCTCTCTCCGAAAGGATTTTGGCTGACCTAGCTTCGCCCCTCTTGAGGGTTATTCACCAGTAGCCTTTACCCCTCTGCGCCCGCAGAACTTGTCCCACATCGGAAGAGAGTCGTCTCCCCCCCTCACATATAAGCCTTGGCTTCATATGGAGGTGGTACCCACAGCAATGTTCAACTAAACAATAGGAACAAAAATAATAATTGGGTTAATTACAAATGCCCCGTAGAACTATGGGTGTGATTTCAGTCAGCTCCCTAAAGTTTAAAATTGAACAATTTATCCCCCTCAAGTTTCAAAATGAGCAAACTGACTAATGGACCTTGATTGAGATTGTGAAATTTCAAAAATATCCTTAACCATGGTGGATGAATTGGAGCCAAAAAATTAACCATGGTTGGTTGATTTAATCTGATATAAATAGAACTCTAATCCAAATTCTACCCATCACGCCCTATTTTCTAACTACTTCTCCATTTCTCAAATGCCTCTTTCTGTAGATATTCTCGAACGAAGCAATAGTGATTGAACTAGAAGACCAACTAAAGGTAATATATTATGGTATTGGAAGGTTGTTTGCAATGGTAATGGGCCGTTTCAAAATGAACAATATGGTTCGTATGGGTCATTGGCGGGATTTCATGTGTATGGTGTGTTTTGTATGCAACTTATTTATCTGTGGGGGTTTCTTTTTCTACAAAGTTTGGGTTAAAGTTTTTTCTTTGCCTTTGATATCTTGTCTGTTATTGTGGGTAGGCTTGTCAATAGACCGATATGGATTTATAATAATTCGATCCGTTATTAATTCGATCTTAATAAAAAAAATATTATATAAATAAATATCATATATATTATATTTATATTGAAAAATAAGTAAAAATAGAGTGAATATTACAATGTAAAACCCACTTTTTTCATTTCATTTTTTTTTCTCTTTTATTTGGTTTTTCCTCTTGCTTTCACTTTGATTTTTCATTTTCTCTCTTTTTTTTTGGTTTATTACCCAAATTTTTATTGTTAATTTTTTGGTGCACATGTGTTTTTTGTGTGTTTTTTGTGATAAGCAGATCAGATCGAATTTTTGGATCGAGTATCAAAAAATTAATATATTCAGACATGGATTGAATTTTTTAAATCTGTCGAATAATCGAATAATAAAAACTTAATTGAATTTGAATTCAGATATATGTCAATCTGATCCATATCCGATCCTTTTGGTGGGGGTTTATGAGTACATTATGTTTTGTATGTAACTTGTTTGTAATTTTTGCTCATTTTGAAACTTGAGGGGAATAAATTGTTCAATTTTAAACATGAGGGAGCTGATTGAAATAAGACACAGTATAGCATTAATTATCCCTTAATCAACCGACCCGGATTATAATGTTATCCCACCAAACCCGACGAAACATAATCCGAACTGAACACCCACCCCATTGACGCCCTTTCCAAAGTCCTCTCTTTCTCATATCAAACGGTAGAATTTGCATCCAACTCCAGTTGAATCTCGTTCATTTACGGAATAGCACTAGAATATACCTAGTGGGACCTAAAAAACACATGAAGACTTTCTCAGGTAATCTTTCTCTTTTGGAATGTCATGGTATCTTGCTAATATATCATACTATCCCTAGTGATCTGCAAAAACGTATGAAAATTCTCAGGTCTTCATAGGTTGTCCATAGATACTTTGTTTCGTTTGGTGGATATTTCCAATCAAGAACATATGTTGGAGTGTCAGGTGTTTGAAATTTCAGGTGCCACCTCAATTTTTCATTATGTCGGTCAATCTTTTGAAATTTGAATCTTTGTCATGCAATTCCCAATTCACGAGGAGCTTCAAAATAAAGCACCAAAAATTAATATTAAATTAATTTATTTTAAATTTATTATGTGAGAGAGAGATAGAAGAAGGATATGCTAATGTTTTCGAGAAAAATATTTTAACTTTTGTTTTGTTTTTAACCAGAGAGAATGATTAATTTTAACTTCTTTTTTTTAATGTTTTTTACTTATTTTTATAGAGAGAAAGTGTGTAGGGATAAAGATGTGTTGACTTTTGAGTATTTTTTTTATTATTTTTAGGTGTCTAATGTTGTAAATTGGATCATGGATCCAAATTATTATAATAAAAATTTTGACTGTACTTAATTTTTTGTAACATTTTTTTAGGGTTTAAAATTTAAAATATTTAAATTTTTTATAAGTTAATAATTTACTTAAAATTATGAGACCTTCTAAAAATTTGAGGTTTAAAGCCTAAGCTTTTTTTTTTTTAATTTTGTTGAGCCGCTCCTGCCCTTAGAGCAACTCCTGCGGGAGTTGCCATCAGGGGTGGCATTCCCATAACCACTAAAATGGCACCCCAACTGCAAAAATTAGGACTCAAACAGATGTGGCATCACAAGTGAAAAATGACATCTAGGATTTTGGGGTGGCATATTTGTCAACTTTGGAGAGAGAATTGAGAGGTTGCAAAATAACTGTTGGTGGCTACTGTTCCTCTCAACAATTATATTTCACACAAAATTTCTATAGAAATACAGAGAGAGGAAAGGGGAAGGAGACTTGCCTGAAATCGATATGTGTACTGCTCTCAGAAAATAACTCCCAGAATCCTTGTCTTTGATATCAAAAACCCTAGCTTCCCCTTGCCGTTGGTGTACTGCTCGCATAGCCCCGTTGACATTATAAGTTGCAAAGAGGCTCAGAGGAAGGGGAAGGGGAAGAAGACGTCTGGTAAAAGGGAAGGGGAATGGGAAGAAGACGGCTTGTAAGGGGAAGGGGTAGGAACTATTTTATTTAGGGGAAGGGGAAGGTGTTGTAATTTATAATTACATTTGTCCCCTGTTTTTGTTTTAATTTATAAGTTCTTGTTTTAATTTATAATTTATAATTACATATGCTCCCCTGTTCTTGTTTTAATTTATAAATTCTTGTTTTAATTTATACTTTATAATTTGTTTATAATTTATGGCAGATTTATTTTTTTTAATTAAGGGTAATTTTATTTATTTTTTAATTGATTATTTTATACTCATTCTTTTATTTATTTATTTTTTGTAGAGGGATTTGCAATTTGACGATTTTTTCATTGATTTGCTTATGAACGACACCGATTTATATAATGATACTATGCAGACCAATAACTTCTCTCTAGAAGAAGATAAATTAATTGTGTATGCGTGGTTTAACACGAATAAAGATGTAATTATTGGGAATGAATAACAAGGTGGTGTTTTTTGGCAAAGAATTTTGAACTATTTATAACTTCATGGAAGCAATCAAGAAGAGCGTTCGCAATCTTCCATTAAAAGTTGTTGCACTGATATAAATGCAAAATTCGGCAAATTTGTCGGTTTTTATAATCAAATCGAAAGAATGCGACAAAGTGGACATACCGAGCAAAATAGTGTAATGATTAAGTTTTCAATTTAGATACTACTATGATTTGATATTTGAACTATTGACTGAATAATTTCATATATTTTTCAGGTTGATAACGCAAAAGAAATATTTGCTAAAATCATTAGAAAATTATTTCAATACGAGCATTGTTGGAATATATTCAAAATAGAGCAAAAATGGACCGATAATTTCACCAGCAATAAGAGAGTAAAGACTCATTCAACTAGTAGTCATATTAAATCAACTCATGTTGAATCTTACTATTCAACTCCATATTTAGGGGATGACACTGAACTCTCGTCCACTCTCAACCTCGATAGGCCATTGGGCAGAAAGGCTTTGAAGAAACAACTAAAAAACAAAGAGAAGCAAACCGATGTTAAAATATCAATAGATCATCACCACTAAAATCAAAGAATGGAAGTGGAACGATAAAAAGTTGAGCAACACGACAAAATTTATGCTCAACAGGAGATAGCATTGGAGCAACATCGTAGACAGTTAGACATTGAACAAAGGCAAGTGCAACAGAATAAAATGAAAATTATGGAAACTAACACTATTAGAATAGACCCAATTTCTGCAACATATTGGAATAACATGAATATAGAGATTATGAAAAGGCAATGTTTTAATTTGTAGTCATTATTGATTATATTGCTATTATTTTTTAATTTGTACACATTATTTAGTATGTTGCTATTATTTATGAAAAATTATGTATTGAAAGTACAACTTGAAATTGAAATTGGAATTGAAAGTACAACTTGAAATTGAAATTGGAATTGAAATTATTAGTCACCGTGTCGTTCCCACAAATGCTCGATAAGATCTGATTGCATTTGAGAATGAGTAACACTGTCCCTAATTTGACAATGAGTTTGCATGAAATTTTTCAATTCTGGTGTATACGCATGCGACATTTCTACAGACAGATTTGCGTCACTTCTATCAAAGCCATTGTTATCAATATCTCGTTCATCCTCAATGACCATATTATGCATTATTATGCACGCTTTTCATAATATATGCAAGTATTTCTTCATCCCAAAAGCGTGCTGGTCCACGCACGATTGCAAAACGGGCTTGAAGTACCCTAAATGCCCAATTTACATTTTTTCTTGCCGACTCTTGTGCTTTAGCAAAATATTTTTTCTTCAAATCTTATGGACAGAGAATTTTTTTTACAAATGTCGACCAGTTTGGATAAATACCATCAGCTAAATGATATCCCATTGTATACTGATGACCATTAATTATATAGTTTATTGGAGGAGCATGATCATTTGCTAATAATGGAAAAATATGGGACCTATCTAGAACATTTATGTCATTCAAGGAATCAGAAAATTCAAATAATATATGTCATATCCAAAGATCTTGAGAAGCCACAGCTTCTAAAATGATTGTTGGTTCATGACAATGACCAGTATACATACCTTGCCACGCGGTATGACAATTTTTTCACTTTCAATACATGCAATCAATACTCCCTAACATGCCGAGAAAGCCAAGTTGTTTCCCCGTTTGTAACAATTGGACAATATCGATATTGTTTGGTGACCTCAAGTAATGGTCGCCAAACACTGCAATAACAGCTTTCATAAACCTTCTTAGACTCTGTATGACAGTGCTTTCTCTAATTCTAATGTATTCATCCACAGAATCTGTCGGTGTTCCGTAAGCAAGAATTCTATAAGCAACTATTATCTTTTGAAGGGATGACAAACCGAGAACTCCAATGACATCTGTTGTTTGGATGAAGTATGGATCGTGCTGTTCAACCTCATTTACAATTTGGAGAAAAAGAGGACGACTCATTCGGAATCTCCTTCAGGAAAAAACCTTCATATACACAAGGGATAGAAAAATAGTCATGATAGAGTCTTTCGTGACCTTCAATTCTAGCACGATTAACTATTATGTGGCCTGAAACAAAACCACGATGCATTCTTATCCGTCCCTGACTAGACCCTTCTGATCTTCTAGTTGCAGTATACAGCATATACAAGTCATCATTATCTTCTTCTTCAATATTAAGGATCTCTCATAAAATATTAAGATAACAATTCATATAGTTTGATGAATAAAAATATGAAAGGATAAATAGTCAAAGAGAAAAGAGATATTGAATTTATAGAGAGAATGTAAGATATATTCTCTCTACATGAGAAAAATGATCATGTTTATAGACAAATTATACTTTTAAAATTTTTTATTTTGGCAATTAAAATTTCAAATTTGAATTTCAACAGTTGAAATTTGAAATTTGAATTTCGGCGGACAAAATTTGAAATTTTTACTATAAAAATATATCCGTTAAATTGTGATTGTTATGAAAACTATACCCATTAAAATATAACCATTAAGTTTAATTATATTTTTTAATAAAAAAATTAATATATTAAAATAACACCTTATTTTGGCACTTACCATTGGAGTAGAAACACTGTTCAGTGGTGCCAAAATACAGTTCAAAGTTTTAAAATGGCATTTGGCACCCCATTTTTGACAACTCCCCTTAGAGTTGCTCTTAGTATGTGTGTGTGTGTGCGCACGCACGTGTGTGTGTGTATATATATATATATATATATATATATATATATATATAT